TTTTTTTTTTTTTGGTGTTTAACTTCGTCGTAACTCACTTTCTTTTAATTTGATTTCTTCTTTTCTTATCTACACTTAACGGTATCGTTACAAGCACACATAACCACACACCATGATTCAAAATGATCCTTGTGCCGATAATGTAAATGAAATTATAAATTTTATTAACATAATATAATTGAATCAAAAAACATACTTTTTCATTAATTTTGTTCTTCCACGAAACTTATTTCTTACGAGTTATTCATTAATTCCACGCACATATATTGCTTCCATAGGAATTTCTCATCATTAATTATTGTTTCTTAAATATTATTCTTGTCCGTATTTCAAACACAATTTGTTTATATATATATATATATATATATATATATAAATATATTTATTTATTTTTTTTTTTCTTTTCTTTTTGCAATTATATGAAATTGTGTTGCATATCGTGATTATTTTATTTAAAAAAAAAAAAAACAACAACAACAAAATAATTATCTATTGTAAAACTGTTTTTCTTTTAAATTTTTATATATGATTTTCAATTTTATACGTATATATATATTTAACACTAACATCGGCCGATTGATGTTAATGTTTGGCATTAACTGACAACACAACACTGGTTTTTTTGTTAATGCATTCATAAGCAACAGGCTGTCATTTTAAATAAACAAGAAATGTTACAAAAAGTTATCTATAATGTGTGTTCATGTGTGCGCACATAAAATGCTTTACATGCTTGAGGGTGCTTAGGAATGCATATTTAAGTCAGTGTTGCCTACATTTGAATAATTTCAATAATTACTGCATTATACAGCAGAGCTGTGCACTGCACGTCATCAAAGCTATATATAATGTGAATATAAGGAATGAGTGGAGGAGCGTATAAAGTTGTACTTTCCATTTGTTAAATCGATTTTAAGTTTCAAGATCAGGTCCGTTATTCGATCTTCAACCTTATTAATGAAATTTAATTTAAGATAACCCAATTATTAAATAGATATATAAGTAGAGGGAACGGTCGTATTGGTTCTTCAAGGATGTTGTACATTTATCTGCTACAGTTTATCACTAATGAGGAAAAAAAACAATTTTTGATCCCTTTTTCAGTACCAACTTGGGTGCAGGAACTTTCAATTTCCGTTTCTGTCAAATTTAAATTCGATAGCTTCATTTTTGCGATCAGCAGACAAATAGATCGATCGGTATACTAAATGTCCTTCAAGTCCGTCTTCGTACTGCACACTTGAGGCGCAAGTCGTGCAAGGTATGAAAACTTTCTTAACATTCTATTTATAGTTGACAGAGCGTACAAAACATACGCGACGTCACACTATTTACAATCGATAAAAAAGCAGAACATGCCCGATGTGAAAGTTCGAGTTCAAGATGCATTTACATATTCAGCACAATTTCTGTTTATTATAAAACTTTATTTCATTACTGTGCTACGGTGGCTCAAGTATTTTCAAAGATTTAAAACGAACATGTATTAACAAGAACCTCTTCGAGATCAGGCTAAAATAAAGATCTCAGAAAGTATATGTCGATCGAAATCTACCTGTCTAGCTCGCTGTTCATATGTTTGTCCTTTCTACAGCGGCGCGCTCTTTTAAGTTGTAGCTTGGGTTCGGTCATCAATTCGAATTTATGATTTTAGTTATACCCCTTATAAGGGGGTGGGGAATAGACCATCGGATCGAACACCTATGTAATTCTTTCGATTTTATTGGTACCTTGCGAAGAAAGCTCATCATAGGATCTGACTTTCAATGCCGCTTATGAAAGAGTAATAAAACTTTCTCGTAACTTTCGGGTCTAACCTAATTTTTATTAAGTGAACTTAAAATTATTACCATCGTAGGCAAATAAATCTTTAAATTATTTTATTGGAATCAAGTCATTTATAACATTCAATCTTATCTTAGAGGGCTTAGCGCTTTCGAAGGGCCGATATTTTGCTAAATTATTTTCTTATAAATGCAAAAAACTGCGATCGCCCAACATATTTATGACGAATAAGTTGGTGATTTAAGCAGGTTTTTTCGATACAAGTTTCGTCTTGCCTCGTTTCGAATCGTAATCGACTGGCTAAATGCTGAAATGCTTGGTAACGATGCTTAACTGTACTGGTGGCCTACTTTCTCTACCTGTTACTTCTTGAAAAATGCGTTGACGTTCCTTGATCAGATAATCTGAAAATAGAAAAACCACGGATTAGATTAGTTATAATGATTGGAAAAATCATGATCATGATTGTTACCGTTGTTGAAATAGTTGGAAGACTCGACGCTTTATAATAAATAATATGAATATAAAAAATCCCAGGATGGCGTTAAAAAAGTCAGCCAAATAAAATAAATAGTGTGCAGCTACATAATCTCGCAGTAAATAAGATATGATATCCAATAGCCAGGAAACGCCCATAATAAGAAATAACCGTAAAATGAGTAAAGCACTGAATATGTAGAAAAAAAAAAAATAAACTTATGATAATCGAATGAAAGAGAGTGAACAAAAAGAAAAAATTAAACAAGTAAGAAACTTATATTCGGCCGACATACCGTCATAAAAAAATGAATCGGATAAAATTTATCTTTCACCTTTCACTACCTTCCTACCAAAAAGGCATTATTAGGAATAATTAATCACATACCATCATGGCCCATTTGATACCCATATCAATGGTATTTTTCCAAAAACATGTATCCATCACTCCAATGAATTTCGAATTAATACACTTCGCTTTTCGCATTCTACTCTCCAAGTCCTTTCATTTGATACCCATATCGTTGGTAATTATTATTGAGAGAAAATGAATCCGCCGAATCGGTGGGGGGCGCGGCGAAGGGGGGGGGGATGTACAAAATAGTTTTAAACATTCCCTTTTGTTTATCTTATGATTTTGCTTATCTTATGAATAAATCCTTAAAAAAGTGAAAAAATGGAAAAGTAAGTGAAGCACTTGTAATTTTGTGTGGGCATGGCAGACTTTTTCAATTTTCGCATATAAAGAGAGTTTTCGAGAAAGTACTTGTGGAAAATTTCAGCCTTCTATTTCTTATAATTTGTGCGTAATGAGCAAAAAGGCAAAAATTGTTATTGAGTGAAACGGAGTTGCGTTCAGTGCGTCCGCTTCAAAGCGTACACTTGAACTCTGACCAATTTGGTCCATTTGCAATAGCAACTTGCGGGCAAAAACTTACAATGTTTTCACCAAATTTGAAGTCGTTATCTTAATTTTTGCGACCAGGTGACCCAGCGGTCATGCCGACACACAGACGGACAGACATGGCTCAATCAACTCAGAATACATATGTATACTATTAGGGTCTTTGAAGCTTGTGTTTGGGTATTGCAAACATTATGACAAAATGAATCTGCCCACCACCCATGATTCACTGGTGGCTACAAAAACAACTGAAAAATTAATTATTTACAAAATGAGGTGAAAAAAACACGTTTTTTTTTTAATCTTTTATTATCCTTAATATATATTTATTTTATTACGTGAGTATGCGACAACACAGTGAGGTTAACGCACGCTTTAACTTTAGCAATCGTTCAACGTTTAGAAAGTGTCTAAAGCTAAATTGAACATTTTAAGCAAAGCTTCGAAAACGTTATCAGAGAGATAGGCAGACCGACAGACAGAGTGTAGCTGAAGCGATTTCATTATAGACGCTGAGTGTAGCGAACAAGGATTAAATTTGCAATTCACAATCTCAATGGATTCACAATTCAAAGGTCCTCCTGCTCCGGTAAATTTTCCTCAACGATAGTCGAACTTGCGAAATTGAAAAGACACCGCTTTTGGTAGAAATATCGCGCATATCTCGTTAATTAAAGGAAATTGAACAAAGCAAAATAAAAAAAGAAGAACATGCACTGCTCCAAGCATGCGAATCATATGAAGGGCCATTATATTGTAAAAGCAATCAAATGCAAAACAAACCAAAACAAGTAAACCATAGCCTGCCCTTCAGCGCCATATAGTTTTGTATATATAACAACCTTTCGAAACAAGGCGTTATATGCGAAGTGATTCGATCCGAGATATTTTCAATTGAATTCATCCGTGGCCCAAAACGAAATTTAAACAAAGTATCTTTAGGTTGGATACAAGTCAAACAAAACAAACTGACAGACGGACAGAGACAGGCTTAAATCGCTTCAGAAAGCATCTATCTCAAGTCCCCACAAACTTAAGCATACACTTGTACCAGAAGTGGTGACAAGGCCAAGGAAAGATTGTATAATTAAACATAAACTCGGCTGATACTTACTTGTCTCTTTGCGAACGTCGTTTTGCGCAGAATGCAGTTAGATTGCGATTTAAGTGATTGATTTTAGATATAATATTAAAAAATATTATAACATTAAACAAAAAAATTATCATATTCGGTATATAAAAGTAAATACTGGCGGACCATTTTGAAACTATAAATCAGAAAAAAAAAAAAAATATATATATATATATATATATATTTGCGATTTATATATATATGCGATTATAACGATAAAATCTTTTGTTTACCATCAAGCCAGCAGTGTTTAGTGCCAATACCAGGCTTCCAACAATTATCAATTTCAGACCATTCAGCCAAAGCTGTTAGCATCGTGCATAGTAAGCCAGCTCCCCAAACTGATAGAGAGTAAAGCCAGTAAAGTTTATTATGCGATTTTATACCTGTTTGGAGATTTTCCTTTATATTACGCCAAATATCGAAACTTAAAATACTAAGCCAAAAAAATGCAGCTCTCACAAAAAAGTATCCAGCGTAACCTTGAAGAAAAATATGAAAAAAAATAAATATATATATATATATATATTTATATATGTATACGTAGACATATCTTAACGCGTGTCTTGAACGGCCACCACGTTATGCGAATATGTAAGAAGAGCCTATTTGTACTTCCGAAGCGAAAATTGAGAGAGAGAGAGAGAGGGAGAGATGGACAGGGGGGATAATCCTGAAACAGATTATTGCGTAAAACTGCAAGTTGGGCACACTATGCTGAATCTTTTTTGTTTATTTGTTTATTTGAATCCAGTTAACGGATGGAGTTTCATTTTTAAGAATTTAGAGAGGATCATACCAAGTTATGATACCTGAACTTCAAATTTTATTCTGATCAAAAAATTAATTTCTTTTGTTGTATAAAAACTCTTATGCATATTGCAGAAAAATGAAACGATTGGATGGCGGCGTCTCTAATCTTTTTGACAGAGATATTGAATACCCCGCTAAACCTTCCCCTCCTTTTTGTTTTTTTATTTCAGGTTATATTCAGATGTTCTCTACGCCATTCTACGCTCGTCTGATGTGTTCAAGCTATTAAAGTGCATTATTTTTTTTTTTTCATAGAACAACACCAATGCAACAAATTGTTTATCTGCATTTGCATTCGGTTCCATCACAGCATATTGGAAGCGATCGAAAAAGGAATATTTTCCGGAGAAATTCACATCTACATAATAATCACACATCAGCACGACAGGCTAAGTGCAAGGCATAAAAAAAATATTGAGATCGTATACAAGAGTAATAGCAATGATCCGAATGTATTGATTATGGAGAGCATGTTGTTAGCAATCAAGCATCTGTACAATTAATTAATCAATTTATCGCATATCATATCTGTCCGATAAAAGTGAACAGTTTATCATTTGACTTTTCCCTGAAATGTTTTAACAAAAGACAAATACATCAAATCGGGTCAATCGGGACAAATTCACTTTAAATGATTTATTTTTTATAACAAAACTATATTTGTATATATCGTTGAAAGCTATTGCTTTAATTCGTTTTAAGAAAGCAATTAATTAACTCGCCGTCAGCGTCACTAGCATTACATATTTACATACTGTGGTGGCGATTTTAAATTTATATAAAATATTTATTCTGAATACTAACCCAATATTAAGCAGGCGGGAGGACTTATCGCTCCAGTCGTGAAATTGATATAACAAATAACGCTATAGCTCATGGTTAAAGAAATCAAATAAGAAATCAATAACTTTCCGCCTAAATTGCCGTGCAGCTCTTTGAAGCTGAGATAAATTAATATCGTTGGTATAAAAAATATTATCGATATAAGCATCGCTAAGAATCGAATTAATATGAATTTAATTAACAGAAATATTGTCTCTCATTGTTTATATTCTTGTTCTGCTTACCATACTTCTTAATGAAAACATCCCAAGATGGATTTAAAATCAGGCAACTAAACGGTTCATATGTGTATTCATTATCATGAACATCATAAACTTGACTTAAGCAATAATCTCGTGTTGTATAATACATGGACTGTTCAATTCTTCTTACTTTCAACGTTCCATTCTGAAAAAATCAAAAGCATTCAACAACTGGGTAGCAATTGGTTTAGATGAAGGAACAATGCCTCGATAAATTACTTCGCGAAAAACCGATTTCGAAGAAAAAAATAACTAAGGACGCGACTTATAGTCGAGCAATGCCGATTATTAGATACACTGCACCATTTGGCCGAATACAGTTATTCACGTGTTCTGATAATAGGACACCAAAAATTACGCATTATTCTCACGCAAGGGCATACTTTTCACGAGAGTCTACGTATTGGAGGATCACATGACATGGCGCAAATTGGACGAATCCCAAATTTTAATTCCAAAAATTTTTTTAGTTTTCAGTGCAAATTATACTTTCTCTCTCTATAAGGGCTTAGTAAAAATATTAGAAGTTAAAGCTCTTTTTGAAGGACTTACTACTACTACTACTGAAGTCTAACAAGTAGATCCATATGGTTGAAATTAGATTCATTCATTCAATTAGATATGTCAAATTACTATCATCAACGGATTTTCATTATGAAACATTAACTTCACTTCTAAACGTCTTGGACGTATAAGGACTTATATTTCCTGAAAATCCTTATATACGATGGTATCCAATAAATAGACCTACTTGGTCCATAATATTTGATAAAGTTGTTTTTCATTGGCAAACTACTATCATGAATCAAATTTCACCATATAACGATTTAGTTTTCGTAGAAACGAAAAGGGAATTCAAAAAGTTACTTCAGTCGATCCAAAGTTTTCACATCAATTTCAAATGTTGAAATGCTATTACTAAGCGATTTTTCCCGCAAAATCCTAAAAACTTTTCTTTTCCTTAGATTATTGTAATTTTATATTATTAATTAAGCGAAGTGATGTAGAGTATCTATGGGATGTCCTTGCCAGGCTATAGCATTCTTACTCGTTATACCCTACCGTACTTGCCGTAAGTTTACGTAAACGCATGTAATGTCCGAAAAGGGCTTAAGATGGACCCACCTTTTATTGTACAGATCGATTCAGAAAATGGTTCTGAATATAAACTTATCTGTCCGTCTGTCCATGTAGTTTTGTATTCAACCTACAATTCATTTTGTAAAGTCAATATATAGAAAATTGTAATGTGAGGTAAAGGAGTTAATTGTGAACCGTGCCCCGCTATAATATTTTTACTTATTTTTGAAAAGAATTTTGCTTATGAAAGAGATGAAAATATTGAAAAAGATCTATGCAAATCATATGTAACTTTGGAGGGCTGCTTCGAGCTGATCGACGGCGACCAACGTTTGTTTGATAGAAATGATCATCTTAAGCTTGTGAAAGATAACTTATGCATTAATTTGCATCCAAAATAATTAAACATTAATTCTGAATTTATGCTTCATTCCGAGTTGGAAATCCAATCACAGTAGTACATTTGTGAGGTAGACTTTCGAGCGATCTTTTCATTTTCCCTAAACTTTGGAAATTATCTTGACGCAGAAAGCGGCTTAAGCCATAAAACCAATATCACTAGGAAGGTATTCGATTAAATCAATGAATAGAATTTTTCTCGATTTTCATATCATTTTGTTCCTTTTCTCATTTCTTTATTGAATGCATGCGCATGCTTACAAGTGATATTATGAGTTTTAGGATTAATACGCTTAGTATTTTTCGTCTAATTATAGGGCGCACACACAAGACATATTATGCTCACTTCTAGTAAGGACCAATTTGATTGGGCAGTGGAATGAAATTGCGCTACTCGATTGCATGGTCTCCCCATTTGCCAGATGAAATGATTAAAGATATCGACTTTTTTGAATTCTCCATTTGTTTGAGTGATTATAATAAAGTCCGATGAATGCGATGAGTTCGCACCGATATTTGTGATACACTGACCGTTGCCATTTATCAATTCACTTCGTTGGCAACATAATTTAATGCATTTTTTAAATTTGCAAACACATCCTCTTAAATGCATGGCCACATTAACATTTACTCCGTTAAAATATTGTTCGTAATCGTAATAACCTTGCCAGGCTTTCGTTATTTCGATATTCTGATAGAATATTGAGCCATTTGCCTGGGACGCGTAATTTGATAGATTTACCGTCTCTTCATAGGGACAATTGGCGATATCGACAGCACATGAACGAGACACTTTTAAAATTACACCGATAAGAAGCAGAAGCATTTTCTTTATTTTTATTTATCTAAATTATTTATTTATTAATATTCACATTAGGTTAAAACAACCAGGCGTACGTCATTTTCAATATTGTGATCAGTTGGATTTCTTGCGAAGAAACTTGGGCCATGATATGTATATATATCATCATGGAGAGTTTCAATGCTAATAAGACCGAGAAATGAAAGGTGTAAAGAGTGGAGGTTGGATTGTAAATTTTGGTCATGATACGAGTTTTATGCATGACGCCGTGCTGTACACTCCGATTATTGTTACGATCAATTTGAGAAGTAATATGAGAAAAAATGTTTAGGATTTAATATTTCCCTCACATTGTTGTTTTATAGAAACTGACCTAACACGCCAGATGTTCGGCGAAACGATCAAGTTGTTATAAACATAGTTGAAGGATATGCAATTTTGATGAAAGCTCTTTTTTTGCGGATAAGCATACAGATGGACATACGGACTGTACGAAATCAAATGATTCAAAACTTTGGGCTAAGCGCTAGCTTGAGTGTATCGTTTCGTCGTCGAGTGCCGTAGAATGCACTAAAATAGCAAAATATTTTACAGACAGAGAAGCTGTACAGTTTGGTTATATATGTTCTACTACTCTGCGCTACAATGAGTGTGTAGCGGTCATAAGTTTTTGAATTTCCAAATTTTTTTATTTTTTTATTTTTTTTTTTGGAAATCACTGTTGCTAGCTATTGCTTTTTAACTTTATATTCATTTTATATATCTTCCGATTTTTATTTATTCATTTTATTTTATTTCGTTCAAGAGTTTCGCTCCGTCAATGTTTTCGATATGACTGAAGCAAACCGCAAAATCGTTGGCTTATTTATACTAAAGTGGATACATTAACGATGGGAACGGGAACGTGACCGAGAACGACAATGATTCCTGAAGGATTCATAAATTTAACTCATGTGCAAAAAAAAATTCTCCTAAATTGCTTTGTATTAATAGTAAACAATGGTACTTTGAAGGAGATGACATGCAATTTGTTTTTATTATATATCACCCATACTTATAACTGTCCTCCTTAATGAATTTATAATTCTCTAGACAGACATATCCTTTGAAAATATATCAAAATTTTTATTATTACTGAAAGCGTTTCTCTACATCACTTCTGGTTATCGAGCCTGGTCATCGTGCGAGTCTTTATTGCTTAGCGAATGCGATAATTGTCGATGGAGTGGAATATATTCACTAGGAGCACTTTCGGACGATCGGCATATAGGTGATGGTGCAGGTAGCCCTAATAAAGGTGACGAATGGTGATAAATGAATTGCAATTGTGGTAACGGATGTGCTTGCGTAAGCGAAGACAACAGCTGAACAGGTGTTGGTAACGTAAGCGGCAATGCTGCGTTCGGTGGTCCTTGTTCACATGGCACCGGTTGTAAGACTGCTTGACATCCGAATAAATAATTGTTAGGACATGGCAATTGAGCACCAACTGTATCCGAATCGTGAAATTTTATAATTAATCCAATGATCATGAATAGATTTAATTGCATTTTGATTAATTGTAAAATTTGTTGAAACAAAGCGATTATTAAGAAATGACGGATTGACTGACATATTTGCTAAGCGAATGCCTTATAAAGCTTCATTCAATAAATAAAATGAATATGTCAGCAATAACAAAGAAAGAAACTACAGGCGTTCGCAAAAAAAAAAGAAAGAATTTACGATTTTTTTTTTTTTTTTTTTGAAAACTACACGTTCTTGTGCATTCATATGCAGTTATAACCAACTTTTTGCATCGATTGACAAGTTTCGAGAGTGGTAATGGAAAACTCAGTATGTTCTTCGATGCTATTCACTTCACATAATATGATTTCATAAATGGGTAAAATAATTTATGATTAAAGTCATTCAAGTTTTTCATTGTCATTCATGTATGTGTTTGTGTGTTTGCGTGTGTATGTATGTGTGTGTGTGTGTGTGTGTGTGTGTGTGTGTGTGTGTCCGGAACAATTTCTTTTTGATCCATATATACATTAATGCGGTGTAAGTATACTCTCCTGCGATTGATTGCATCTGCCCAAAAAATAGTTCATGAATAACTCTTTGCGCGCTTTCCTACCTAGCTTTTGTTGAAAAGTGTATTCCATGTACTCAGTAGAACATCTATCGAATTTTGTTGCAGTAGATGAAATATATAAATTAGTTAATATTATGCTCGCCTACGAAATTTGTGTTAGGGAAACGCTGCTACTATTTCGGCTGATTACTAATAAAGAAAGCGCCCGACAAGTCTCAAAACTTTTCGAATTGTGCAATACCATATGAAAAATATTCATTTCGCAATTAAATCATTAACACATTGAACGTTTATATTTAGGACGCAATGGAATCTCGTTAAATAGAGCAGTGCCATTTGTCTTGCAATAGCTCCTGGTCTTCGTTTGAGAAAAGACCTCTTCCCAATATAATTGTTAATTGAAGTGTAGCCGCCTCTTGAGTATCTCTGGTATTGCGACAGACACATTCAATTAAACGCAGCAGAATAACTCTTAATTAATTATTTTTGCATAAAAGCCCCTTTCACTTTTCAATATGGCCGATTAAGTCATTTCAGCAAAAAAAAAAAAAAAAACAAAAAAAAACAAAGTACTTACTTTTTATACATAATTGGTTTGCAATGCCCCATAGGAAACATCAGAAACACCACAAAGTCTCCAATTCTGAATCGCTTTAATCATGTCCGTCTATGTATAATTTAAACATACGCTCATTAGCGACAATTAAGATATCGCCTAAAACTTTGCCAAAGAATGTTGAAGGGCCCTAAACTTATCAAAGGACAAGCACTTTTATTTGTTATCCATATCAAGTGAATTGCTCAAACGGAAATAATCCAGCATTTTATGGCGGCTGACATTTGTACGATGTACGGAAGAACACAATATGTGCGCAAAATTTCAACGCAACCGGTTACTCGGGAACTCGATTGCGACCTTCTTTCTATACTAAGCCGAAAGTTCATTAAATTAAAAAATAAAAAAAAAGAAATGCATTTGAAAAGCTCTGCAGAAGTTTTGAATATAAGTAAAAAGATTTTTATATATATATTTTTTTAATAAATTTACAGCAAGTCTTGCTTTGGGTATTGATTAGTGCTTGAACGCTTGACAGATTGCAGAAGATTTTATTTATTAAGCCTAACTAAAGGTCGTATGTTCGACATTTTTGGCTTCAAATAACGATCGAAGCCAACTTAAAGTACTTAAATTCTTAATCAATCCGAGGATCGAAGAATATTCATGTCATGTCTATACTTCTCCATTGGTTTCGAGTTCATCTAATAAAACAAAGTTTCCTTTTTGCTCAGATTAATTTTAAGTTTAGTCTTACGTTTTTCCTTAATCCTTGATTATCTTGTTATCAAATTTCAAATTTCGCCAAATTTAATCAGAGGCTTGCCTAAATAAGGCGAGATATAGATCAGTAGTTGTTTGTATAGGGACATGATTCAAAATATATAAAACGATACGTTCGATCGATTTTCCCTTGAAGTTATATAACTGAAACTAGTGTGAGTGTGAGTGGTATAAAAGAGTCAGTTCAAATCGGACGTATATATAGTAAATAGCATTCAGTGAACCACTGCTGCCGCAATTAATCTGATGGATGCCGAAAAGTGACTTGTAGCGATTAAACTTTTTTTCTTCGGTTCTATTATTAGCTTAACATTATTCCATGCTTTTCCACATATAAATTGTCTTTTGTTGTGTCAGTGTCCTCACTTCGCAATGAAGAAGAAGAATCATGCTTATAGGAGAAATTAATTGCAATAGATTCCTAATATATTTTCAAGGCATACAACTAAGATGAAAATCACTTGCAATCAAAAGCAATTTGTCCGTTTGTCCATTCATCCCTTTAGTCAGATGTATTGTCATTAGCAGTTTAATTACATTTTTTTTCTTATATCAATTACTTATTTATTTTAATAAAATTGCACTTAACTTTAAAATATTATAATATTAATATAAATTTATATAAAAAAAAAAAAAAAAAAAAAAAAAAAATATTAATAAATCTTATTAATTGTTCCAATTAAATTAAATTTGTTACGATCGATTAATACTTGTCTTAATCTACTTGTCTAACTCTATTGCTTCTCTTCTATTATTAAATAAGTGTTATCGAGTTGTATAAAATATTTGGTATGCAGGCTATCAGGCTTTGAATTTCAAATTCACACTTGAATTGAAATTATTTTCAAATCGTCATCGCGAAGTGATTATTAATTTTTAATTTCTTGGTAGTAATACATTTAATTTGGTTTTCGATATCTGAGTTTGTAAGGTGACACGTCGGCTAAGTTCGTTGGATTCGCGGCCACGTAAAGTTGATATTCTGTAAAAATATTAAATTAAATAAACGAAAAAAAAAAAAGGAAAAAAAAATTTATTAAAGGTTTTTTTCAATTTTTTTTTATTTTCATTTATTTATTTTTTTTTTTATTTATTTATTTATTTTCTTCTTTTTTTTTTTTTTTGTTCTCATTTTAGTTTTACACCAAATTTCATTACGGAGTACATGCACCAACAGGAAACTATCACAATTACAAAAATAATAACTAATTTAAGAAATATTGAGCCTTTACAAACTCTCTCCAATTGCCAAGCTCAATACTTTTGAAATCAGTCACTATTTTACTATTCTACTTGTGGTAAGTGTATAAGAAGAAAGCGTAAAACATGATCTGGTTAAATTATAAGCCCAAAATTTTGTTAGTCTTCATTTTAAGTTTATCAAATTCGATTAGAGTTTTTTATTGTGTACATACACACACACACATACATACATACATACATACATTACACGTATATATAGGATAGTATAGAACAATTTAATAGTTTTTTGTTCTATTAAAACAGTCATCGTTACATCACAATTACCAGCACCTAGTACTAGTGTTAAAAAGTTTAATTATTTATTATTCAAAATAGGCATGCAACGACATCAATACGTTCTCTTCTTTTCCTTATATGTAGGGTGTACCAAAGTTTATGCAAGATTTGAATTAAGTAGAAAAGAGAATTATTTTACACCCATCACCGAACCCGATGAGGGATATACGCATTTTGTCAAACCGTTGGGCATCGCCAAGAAGGAAGGAAGGTTCAGAGACCCCACATACTATTTATATTCTTGATCAACGTTAAATACTGAATCGATTTCAGCATGTACGTGTCCGTCCGTGTATACATTCTCCTGGCCGCGTAAATGAAATTATTATTAACTTGAAATTTGGCAGAACCATTGTAAATTCTTGCACGAAGGTTAAGTAAGAAGGAAGAATGGACTAAATGGTTCGAAATATACGCTGACAGTATCACGTAAACTGCGAATATCTCCGTTTATTTTTTTCAACGACTACTGCAAATAAATCTACCAAACTATGAAGATATATATATTCTATGGGTAATGCTGTAGCCCTTGTATTTGTGTACAAAATGAAAAAAAGTTGACCACACTTTCCCGATACTATCGCGTATCAAAATTTGAGGTGCAGAAGCAAGTTTCATAATCGCCACCAAGTGTACATGTATTCTTGGCCAATTTCAAATTTGGAATGCACCTAACCATGCCCGTCTGTCCAGCTGCCCGTCTGCCAAATGGTCTAATATCTGTGCATCGCTTACAAATTTGAAAAAGAATTTGAAAATAGCCCAAGCCATGGTTAAAGAAGCCACACGCCCACATGTCTGTACAACCAAAACGGAGCAAACACCTTTGCTTTCCACGTCTTTTGCTCGTGGCTCATAAGCTGCAACACATATACGATATGGAATTAGACAAAATTTTTCTACAAGAATATGAAGAGTTGGCGTCGCTCACACAATATACTTTTCCTTATTTTCAATATTTTAGAGAACGGACGGTGATGGGTATAAAAGATTAGGTCGCGACCGAATATATTTTCTTACTTTATTTTTATTTTTTTTTTTTAATTAAGGTAGGGTTATATGTGGAATAGCACATTGGGCCAATGGCCTCCAGGACTTTGTTGGCTGCCACTTTATTGAAATTCTGATCATCGAAATCTCGTAGGTGTACACGACCAGGCAATGTCTCATGCAATAATTGAATTGTGTCACCGGATGTATGGCATGTGCGGCCGTTTTGCTAAAACCACAGAGAACTGAGTTATCAAACCGCTCTATGTAACACGAGTAAGAGTGATTGCTCGATCTACCTCATATTCAAAGAAATGCGACCAAACGTTTCGTTATTAGTGAAAATGCGTTGCTCTCTCGTGTAATGCCTCATTTTTAGTGACCTAAACTGTCGGCTGTCAAACTATATTTTTTTTATTTTTTTTTTTTTTGATTGCCAACACTTTGCCGCACAAATGGCGGCGAATTCATATCTTGCTTAAACTTTGAAACATCCTCTATATGCCCACCACTAGCTTTTCGACGATTCCATTCGTTGTGCGGTATTCGAAATGTAAGCCATGTTCATCCGCCCGTCGGCCCAAACACTGCAAGATGAACTTTCATAAAATCAGTATCAATCGAAATATTCGACAAGGAAAGACTCTCGTTCGCTCGCAATTGAAAAAAGAGAAAACATTTTCCACTACAATGGCTTAAGGTGGAAGGTGCTGTCCCGAGACGAATATAACTTTTCAACTTCTCAGTTTATGCTCATGGTTTGTGATGCGCGTGAATTGCGCCGTCACCTCGATATGATCTTAATCAACGGAAACATTAGCGTCGATTTGGCTGAATAAGAAGCGAAATAAAGCGTATGCGGATTTCGATTTCCAGAATGTATGTCTATAAAAAATGTCTTTGATTATCTACGATATACGATATGCGATATACATCCAGTGAACGAATTTTTCCTTTATCTTGTCTCTTTTGATATAATCAAATGCTGTACGAGCTAGTGGTAGGTTCTATAATTCGCCATAATCCGAATAAAATTTCGTTTTTTTGCTTTTGGTTTTGTTTGCCTTCTCTCTTTTAAACATTCACAAGTGCAGTTTTTTGTTTTTAGTTTTTTTTTTTTTTTTTTTTTTGCAGAGGAAATTGATAATTTACCTAATCGAGATATTGCACAGCTTCGGTTTTAATGCGTTCTTGTAAAGCAATGCCATCATCGGAATATTCAGAATGAGTGCTTTCGTTACTTTCTTTATTGCCCAGTAATCTTTCAGATATTTTTTTTTGTTTTTATTTTTCATTTATATTTTTCGTATACATTGCGTAAAGCAATTAAAAATTTCTTTGATACTCTTACTTACCTGCCTTTTAATAATTTCCAAACTTTTGGCTTCAACACGAATAATATAAATATCAAGACACCCTGTATGGCATTCATAAAATCGGATATATAAAAGATAAAGTTGCCTGAATTATCTGAATTATGACCCACTAGATACGATATAATGTCCAATAGCCACGATATACCCATTATTATGAAGAGACGCAGAAATAAGGCCACACTAAAAAAAAGCAAAATGATTTTAATATTCATATAAGGAATATGCTTCAAAAAAAAGCAATATATATTTATATATATATATATAAATTTATTTGCTTACTTATTACGATGAGTGCGCAAATGACGGGTCTTTTCCTCTTTATCTAAAGCACGTTGCAATTCTTTTTGTATTTGTATAATCTTGGTCATAGTAAAAACGAACATAAACACGTTAACAATAATTATAACCAAATTAATGCCAAAAAAGTATATCATCGCTGACCAGTCATCAGCTAAAAGTTGAAAGAGAAATCAAATATATATATATATATATATAGAAGAAGAGACAACATCGAATAGAGTTTATCATAAGAAAGTTGATATCTTCATACAAAGGCATGTAGGTACGTTTACCTATCTATTTTAAATAACATTAACAATTTATTTATAAATAATAATAAAAATAATACGTAATAAGAATTGTCTTAAAAGTTTACAAGAGACCTAATGGGTTTTCTAAGCTCGACATTAGAAGAAGAAGAATTGTCTTAAAAGTCTAGTCGCAGTTAACAAAAAGGTTTACAAGAGACCTATTGGGGTTTTCTAAGCTCGACCTTGTATAATATCCTTATGGCATTGTTTGGGAAATTCCAAGGATGCAAGAGTTAACTGCCGGGTCGGTAATCGATTAATAGGCCAAACATATCGATTAATAGTTCCCGCAACTAACACGTAAGTATGTGTGTCGTCTCAAGCAAAAAAAGTCATATTATCTAGGCGCTAACACGCAAACGATGTCAGTTAAATAAAAAAACTCATGTCATTGCAATCATTTTTTTTTTTTTTCTTACAACAATCTGTCAGTGAGTTGCCAACTTTAAATGACACATACCAAGACCAAGAGATAGCTACAGGAGAAACCTAAAAAAAAATAAAAAATCTTGCAAACTTTTTCTCGATAATCGAAAAGTGAAATGACAAGAGACAGGGTATTCATTACGTTACATGAACGTTTGGGCATAAGATGGCTCGCGCTCCTAATGGATAAGTTACTTACATTAGAAAAAACACGCCGTGTCACAAGTCCATGCCTACTCACCGTTCCCTCCAGATTGGCCCTCCCAATGACTCTTGTCTTGTGTTTGCAAATCTCATATGCTTGTGCTCTAGGTCAAATGATGAGATCATTGCAAATATTGACAAATCGTCCAGTAAAACGTCAGCGAACTATTAGTAAAGCGTTCGACTGATTGTATCGTTTTTGAAATAAACTCTGATGATGAGCAAAAGTCGAATTTTAGAAAAAAAAAAAAAAAAAAAGTTTTTTCTTACTCAGTCCCGAATGTTATTGATCGACGTATCCGCCCCGAATGACCGAGTAGGCAAAGAATCTCGACTAACAACTCGATGGTTGTCGCTTCGAATCTCAAGTGCGATAAAGTGGATACCGTATGGTCTAGGCATGGTTAGGGCGTCGGCAAAATGCTTTGAAGGCCTAGTTTCGATTCCCGGTACAGTTGATAAGGTAAATTGCGCTTTATTTCGATGGCTTGTTTCTTTTTTTTTTTTTTTTTTTTTAATTGCAAATCTCAAGTGCAGTAGGGTTTTCAGTAAAGTCGATAGCCTCAACTGGCCAAATTAATAATCATAATAATAATACTGACAAAATAGGTTTATCACATAGCTATACCCAATTTAGAAAATTCTAGAAGCTTTAATTTTATCAGAAAATTTAATGTAATCGTGGAGGAGAAGAATTTGAACGCTCTTTACCAGACACCAGAAAGTTATGCGTCCAAAGTTAATCGTCCAAATAGATGAAGACTTTAATATCGTAAAGAAAAATTTAGACCGATTTAAAAGCTTTATAATGTAATGAAAGGACGAACGAAATACTGAAATTATGTACGCAAAAGGCTTAATGACAATTGAAATTAATCGATTAAGCATCAATCTGTTCTCTCGACCGATCGAAGACAACTCAAGCAGGGGGGAGAAGGAGAGAAAATTTGGCAAAAAGTGTTCTTAGCAAAGCCTGATAAGTAAAAACAGATATCACTTGAAAATTACTTGGAAGAATTTTTCAAGGTCGGCTTAACGGTACGATTGAAAAATTTTGCTAATCGATGTCATAACTAGGAAAGAGAGCCTTTGCCACAGAATCCCCAAATATAATCCAACGGAAATTGACCCATACCTAGAAACTAGTTAGTTGTCTTATTCCTATGCCTACGCATAATCGATTATTATGCTGTCTCGGGATATAACAGCAACTGCATTACCTTACATATCAAAGCAAAACCATTTACTTTCACGTTAATAGCGTTACGTAATGTGACTTAGATGCTAACCGCCGATCCCGTAAAGTCGGATAAGCTTGCTTTGTACATTGCTACTAAGCTTTACGACATAAAAAAAAAGAATATTTGCGTAGAACGAAGTTTTTATACCCATTGCTTCTGTCGATTACATCAACATATTAGAATCTTGCTCTTTAAGATTTAGGATGGAATTCTCCTAAGAATTCCAATTGAAAATGTAAGATTGTCGACAGATCATGACCAATTTTTTTTTTTTTTTGAACATACGACGGATAGATAGTTTTTTGACATGTTACAAACGGAAGGATGAAATCTGGTCTTGCCCATCCTTCGGTGGTGGTACATAAAGTAAGACATTTGCCATTTTCTTTAGCTTATCGTATAGACAGAAAATCAACTTCAAAGTCAATTAGTTAGTTAGCCTTTGACTAGCTCTAAGGAGATATTTTCTCTCACTTCAAACTCTCTCCTTAACAGAGGCAAAGTTTTGTAATTTTCATAGTATAGACGGATGATTGTTTTCAATAAGACGTTCGATGTCGATGAGAAAACCAAATAAATTTTTGTGATCTATTTTTTCCCAATGAATTCGTTCGCCACGAGGGTGTATATATATTAAATATATATACATATATATATATAGATGTCACTTCGCTATCAAGTGTTTACTTCTATTTATCAAAATAGTGGGTAAGCAAAGTGCAAAGTACGGCAATCAATAAATACAAAAAGAGCAAGCACTTCATATACATCACGTTAGCTAACTAGCTGTTCAAAAAACAAAAATCGTAAATATTTTGTATTCACCGTAAGTAAGTGTATAGCTTCTTATTAAAAAAACGTTACTTACTTTTAAGCCAACAATATTCGTCACCTATGCCCGGTTTAAGACTATTTTCTAAATTCGAAGCTTGTGCTATAATAACGCAAACAGTTAAAATTAATGGACCACCCCAAGCATATAGAGAGTACATTAGAAAACGTTTACGTTGAGTTAAACGCTTCGAGCCGGTAAAGCGGAAATTTTGCCACAGATCGTAACTAATGATGCTTAGCCAAAAGAATACCGCCATTAAGAAAAAATAGGCCGAATAACCTGAAATGTATAAATTTATGCAATTAATTGATTGATTGATTGATTGATTGATTACCCAACAGAGAACAGCTTATGGGAGGAAAAATCGCATGAGTTAGGGTTACGGTACAAAGTAAACTATAGCCAATCGCCAATGATGTTAAATACGATATTAAACACTTTCCGTGCAGATTTCTTAGCTCCGGTAGAAATGCGTAAACTAAAATTGTTAATATAATAAATGGCACTGAAATGGCCATCGCTGAGGAAGAAAAGTACAGTTTTGATGAAAAATTTAACAAAAAGTAATAAGTAAAGTAAAAGCGGGTAAGATAGGAAGATAGATAGACTGACTCACCTATGTTGTTAATTTGACTCGATAGAGAGGCGACATTCTCGACCGGACAATTCATGGGATTTAAAACCCATTCGCCAGTCTCCAATTGATACGGATGTATGCAATAATCGCGTTTACGAATATAAGCTTTATCGTAGTGACGGTATAACGTGCCGTTCTGTTTTTAAACGAAAATAGACAAAAATTCGCTTCCGATAGAACACAAAAACTTTTGCATTAATATCTTACCTCAAATAAATCCCAGCCATCCAAATCATCTTCTTCGGGTACCACGGCATAGGCATATTCGCAGGGCACTCCTTGCACTATGAAAAAATCATTTAGTGCATGCAAATTTGAGCGGCTGCCATTCTTCAAAATAACACTCAAATGCGGATCATATTCGATTTCCTTTTGCAAATATTCGCCGCATTGTCGCGTTTCATCAGCTATTAACTCTTTGGTGGGATGACAGCAAAATTTCAAACAACGATATTTATCACAAACGCATCCTCGTAAATGGGGTTTCACAGGTACGCGTCGACCATTGTGCAACTCTTCAAAATCATAATAACCAATGCGTTCGGGCGGTATAAGAATCGCCGATTCATAATAATACGAATCATTTTCGAATTTTTGAACATTCGTTAAATCTACGGTATCTTCGTAATTACAATTGGGTATCTCCTTGTTGTGGGCTGATATGGGAAATGCTAATAAGATTATTATAAACGAAATAAGAGTGCAGCACTCATAACTTTCCCGAGTAATTATCATTTTGATCTGAAAATAAACAAAAAAAAAAACAATTTTTAATTTTAAACAATTATTTACCCGCATTATTTTTGTATTATAATATGTTTATATGTATGTCTGTATGGATGTATATATGTACATATGTACATACATATATATATATATATATATATATATATATATATATATATATTTATGTATATATGTATGTATGTATGACTCATTTTTAGTGTATCATTTTGTCTTCTCCTTACATTCACTACACATAACATTAACAAAAATTAAAAAGACTATTAAGATTTATGATTATTTATTAATTCGTTTCGGAGACAATAAGAACAAGTCTACAAAGAAAAAGACGATTGACGATTGATAAACTATTTTCGAGTGTAAAAACGCAATCACGTTTATTCACGCTTCGACTATTGAAATCGGGTCTCTATAATAGATCAAATGCGCTTGCAATGCATCGATACGTTATCAAAGTCGTCACTTCAAAACCTTTTCTTGTAATGAATTTAGAAATTTTTAATGTAAAAAAGTCGAAAAAAGCGGAGCAAAACCAAGTATATTATTTTACTTCAGACTATTGGGACGTATTTCAATCCGATGCACTCTACTATTAACTTTCCCTACTATGTCATAATTGAGGTTCTCTTCTATTCAATCCGCGATTCCTGTCTCGTCTAAGGATGAGATCATGCAATACAATATGGCAGACGAATCTTTTAAAAGCCCTCTCTAATCGACATATAATATTTAATTACCAGATGGTGTCATCTCATTTCTACATTGCATCGTATATATATATATTAGATCAAGTTATCGCACAACTTCGGACCATTTATGGGATAATTAAATCAATTAAAAATCGTATTTATGCAGTTCTTTGAATCTTGGCTTAGCTAATTTTTGAACTTAAAGCAAAGATTTTGCTAAAGCATAAATTTGAGACTCCACTTAAGAGTTTAAATTAAAAACTTCATGCTTTCGTGGCCATAAACTGAAGCGTTGCGCGTGAATCCAGTTTTATACCAAGCTTTGAGATAATCGCGCTTCACACGCTTTTCACACTGATCGATCGTCTTCACGTAACAAGTTTCCGGGCATTATAAGTCTTTGTTTAATCGAAGATGCTCTACGCACACTTAGAGTGAATTGCTGATATGCCATATAACCGCGATCAAGGTGGCCCTTAACTTCTGAATAATAAACTGACAGTATTTATAGCCAGTGCTTGACTCAAAACCTGATAATTTAGCCAATTTTTCTTGAGGTCAAAGGTAATTGTCTCTCAAAACGTAACATGACGACTCTAGAGTTCATCTAGAAGTACACATCAAGGCAAGCAGAGCAATGACGCGAAACTTTCGAATCATGGAACACGGCATACGGGGAGAGGGCTTTGAAATTTACCAGCTAAACGAGATCAAGACTGTTCTAACTATATATGTGAACTAAATTAGGTGACTAGGTGTGTAATACCTAAAAAATAGTAGACAACACCTCAGGCAGCTTAAATTTGGCGGGACGGCATTATCTTATGCTATTTCTTCTTCTTCTGCTTTACGCGAGATTTTAAAAGTATTCGTCTAGGACAACAAAAGCTTAGTAAGCGGTATTACATCCAAAGTGCGTTGTGAAAAAAAGCAGATGAAGTCACAAGACGCTCGACTTTGGCGGTACGCTTACCTTTTAATTAAAATTTTTTCTTAAAACTTATCTCACTCAACACAGTACTGGGGCTATATTCATTTTTTCAGAACACAGTCCGTGATTGTCTCTATTTAGAAGTTGATACAGGAAAACGGGGTCGCGTGGAGTCGACTCCATAAGTACGAAAATTTTATTTGACTTTGGTCGAATCTCTTATATCCATCAGTTTATGGGCGAAGAATAAAATACTCGCTGTTTAGCTTTTGGAAGCAGAGATTTTCTAATTTTCTTTAATACTGCAAGCGGGTCCTTCGACAAATTTCGATCACTTTCAATACCGACATGCGTGCAAGGAGATTGCATGTGTAAATAAATTAGTAAATGAAAGAATTTCAAAATTTGAAACCGATATCTTCGTGTTTGCGAACTGGAGAATAATGATCGTAGGCATGGATAGATGGACAGACGATCATACTTGTATCGATTCAGAATTTAATGACAATCAAAAATATATGCACATACTTTTCGTTCTGAATGTTGCAAAAGCTTTGACAAAATGAACATAACTGGGTACTGGAAGCGTGAAAAATGAAACGTTGTTGTTGTTGTTGTTGTTGTTGTTATTATTATATATTTAAAAGTAATGTTTCAAGCAGTTGTTAAAACAATCTTCCGTTGCATGTTGTCAGCATTTCCATCAACACCGCAAAATTGCTTCACATAGTTTACATTAGCCAGAGATCCGTGTATTTAAAATGTTTACTAAGATTAACAATATACTGAGGATATTTTTTTCTTTTTTTTTTTTTTTTTTTTCTTAAATCTAACCGCACATCGAAAAATATTTTTGGAATAAATATTTCTACACTTAGTTATTGTTCGTTCGGTATTATTTTATAAATGTTTTTATCGCAATTTTATAATTACTTTACCATATAAACAATGATAGCGCAACGTATAAAACATGTGCTGTATTAGTTGTAGCGTAAGTTTTGGTTACTCTTGCTTGCTTGTTATTACTATTGCACAGCTCTACACGCCACTTAAGATCAACATATTTTGAATTCCGTATACCAACTAAATGTGGTCTTCACATTATTCCAAACTTGCACTAGATCGTTACCAAGAAGAGCGTGCTCTTAAGTTTTTCAATTATTAAGAGAATGCGTACTTCATTCGCATTCGCATGAGTTTGTGTGGCGAAGTGATTCCTTAAAAGCAAAATGGCTTAGAACGAATCTTAAATCCCTATTGCTTGTAAAAATGAATGTATTTTTTATTTATTTTTTTTTTTTTTCAAAAATTATCTTCAAATGGTGCAAAATTTGCCTCCAGTTGACCGATCAAGATTATATCTGCTTTAATTTCGCTACTTTGCATCCGAAAATATTCCTATCCATTGTCAGCTACTGAGCTGAAAAATATTATATTCATTTTCAAATTAGATTTATGTGTGGTCTGTGCCACGTATTTTTAATATCAAACAAAGTTGGAAAAACGAAGAACTGTTCATGCGGACGGAGCAAGCATCGCCAAGACGTGCATTCAAGAACACATGACTACCCGTTACAAACGAAATGACATAGTTAGTGCAATCATTCTTTTGCGCGAAGAGAATCAAAACTCAAACTATATTGAAAAACAAAAAAACAAAAAAAAAAAAAAAAAAAAAAAAAAAGAAAAGAAAAATGCATTACATCTGTTCAAACATAGATCGTATATATATATATATATATATATATATATATATATATTTATCAAATAATTTCGTTTTGGGTGTGAGCTGAAGAAGGCATTGCTCATTTCGGTTAACATATCAAAACGATCTATGATAAAGTTCAACCTTAAGAGATTTTCATACGAATCATGCGTTATCTTTTGCTCTCTCTTTTCATGTGACTCACGCGTTTCACTTGGCCGTTTATTGCCCTTATACCATTCTTAAGCTTTCAGTTAAATGCTCAGTAAATATTACTTGTCATACGTTTTGCTTCGGTAAGAATTTTACTGTGCCTTTAACGGCCACTAAAAGGAAACATTCTATTTCTTCTTCTTTTTTTTTTTTTGTTATTTTTATTTTTTTAATTTTTTTTTTTGTAAAAATTCAATGCATTCGTAAATAAAATTTCTAATCTAATAAAAAATGCTATTTACTTTTAATTTCATTCACAAGAATCTTTGATTTCAAAAATTACTATCATTATTATTATTATTATTATTATTGAGCTTCTGCATTCCTAAGCTATCGAGCCTAGGAACCAACCTACTCCATACCCGGAGTTGGGTTCAACTTCATTTCCGATATTACTATGGCAAATGCATTCATTGTATTGGTGTTAGTAGAGAAGTCCACGTGTCCAAGTATGCTTTATAGAGCTGCAACGGTTTCTGTGTCTTCTTCAGTACCTTCTTCTTCGTACATTACGCATTATGCATATTTTTCGCCCTCTCTCCTCCCATGGTCATGGCATCACAATAACAGTTATTATAACTTTCATCTCTTGTGCCAGATCCGTATATTGCGTAATCTTACTTGAGTACGCTGCTTGTAACTTTTCTGTGAGCGGGATTATAACTTTTATGATATCGGTTGTGCATCGTTAAGGTATTCCGTATTAGCAAGTATTATGCATCCGACACAACAAATATGATCCATTGTTTCTATATCGTTTCTGCATTTGCGGCCAAAGTCTATTTCTATTTCCTGCCTTACACTATATGCGTTCGGTAATGTGTTAAATTATGTTATTGTTATTATCAGTTTTGTATAAAATAATTAGCAACTAATTCTATTAGCTCGTGAATTTTCTAACATTTCATAGCAATATGGGACAAAATCCCTTGCTCTATTTCAAAGCTAGGATAGCGTATGGGAAACAACTACAGATTTTACGCTTCTCTGTTAAATACATCCGATGCGTTCTCTCTATATATTCAGGATAAGGATAAGCATAAGCTTTTAAATTCATTCTAAATTCTAAAGCAAACGACTTTATTCTCCATACTTTGTCTACCTATACTGTCACATATCGCAAGCAGAATTTAAGCAGCTGTGTTAAGCCTTTCTTGTTAGGGGCAAATTTTTCATGGACTTTAATCGACATACCAAAATTGCAAAGTGTCTTATAAATTGTTAACTGACCGATTAAAGACTTTGCCACTTTTTTTTACATAGTCCTTATAAGTGATTGTAAGTGAACTCTTACTTACTCAGCCTAAAGGGGCTTGTGCTGTTTGTCAACAAATTTTTCTCTAACGTGTAAGTCGATTCATTTCGCATCCAAAACAAATCGCCGGTCATTGACTAAAAATGCTTTCAGCATCGGTTTCAACCGGTTAACAGCAAACGTTCGAATTGTGGAGGCATCACTTCCGAAAAAACAAATGGACATAACATCAACGTAACATCTTATGCAAAAAACAATTTTTTTATTCAAAAAAAAAAAGAAAAAAAAAAGAGAAAATCACATTTCGACCATTGGCAAATCTCCTATACCTACCAATTTTATATTGAAATAGAATCTATAGAAATATTTATTCTCGCATTTTAAGGCTAATGAGCCAAATACGCATATTTTTCTTTGGAGGACTGTAGTCGCAATTTAGTTCATTTTCAGTAACAAGATGTGTGCAGCAAAGTCTCATATTTCTGCCAAGGGCAATAAAGCAACGGACGGATGTACATACGTAGATGAATTCAAAACTTAATAACGATCACTAACATATACATACCTTATGGAATTTCCAAAGCTTTTTTCAGAGTGTTACAAACGTTTCGAGAGAGGAGAATGAAATTGTGATATTGTATAACATTCGATATATGTGGTCAATTGTTTTTCTATTTTCTATGCGAGCACTTAAAGATCAGATTTTATTGTTGCACCTATTGTGATTTGTGTATTTTTCCTTTATTGTTTTTTTTTTTTTTTGTTTCTAAAAAACGAGATATTCTCACTTTACGTTCTAACTAAGGGAACTTGCCTGCGCGCAAGAATTTCCAATAATCATGTCAAATTTGAAGTCGATCAGGACAACATTTATCGTAGACGTTTTACGCAAATAGGCGGAGAGAGATAGGCTGGCAGACAAACAAACGAACGGAAGAGGATGGCTTCATTTTTGCGATCAGGAAAATGTTTACAATAGACAATGCAGAGACAGACAGACGGACATTCTTAAATCGATCAGGAATTTGATGCTTATCAAGAACACACTTATATATCTGCATTGTTCCTCTTTGTGTTCCGCGTGTGTGTGTGTGTGTGTGTGTGTGTTCTTCAACTATTTGGAGACAAAAATGACAATCGAGTTAAAAGCCTTTTAACATCAAATAGATGCACTTCTCAGCCTTTACAGCTAAAGGATGACTAAGTTCCTCATAGAAGTAGAGATTTTAGTTATCACAACGAAGTGAGGTAGTCTGCAGTTAATTATATATATATATGTTTATATATATATATATGCTTATATGCAATTAGGTCATTAATTTATCACAATTGAAACTATATGGAAAAAAAAATAATTATATTATAAAACGTATGCAGATTAAACTTATCGGCTGAAAATTCCATAAGGAAAATAGTTCGAATATAAAAACAAATACGAAATATTGGCGTAAATCTGTGTTCAGAGATTTTTTTAATTGTTTTATTTCAGCAATCATTTGCGTTATGAATCATAATAAATGCAAGACAAACAAAGCAATTGTATAAAATTAAATGAACTTATTCTAAAGGCGAACGCTTGTATACACAAATACCTATGTATCTACTCTGTATGGTAACTAAATAGTTACTCTAAAAAGTATTGATCTCAGTAATAAAAATCCCCTACTGATTAATTGAAAACAATTATTAAGGGGAAATATTTTTGAATTCTCCAAAAGGCTTAATATTTTTTTTTTTTAAATATTTTGAAAAATAATCATAGATTATGTACAAGAGAATTCCTATATATGCATAAATTATGTACATAAATTATTTATATGTGTGTGTATACATGTTCGAATATCCACCAAACACTTTTTAAATTGGCCAATATCACGAAGAAGGTGTATGTGACATCACAAAAAATAAATATATGAATATCAGTGTGCCGAGGGCTTGGGGACCAAGGTTAAGTGCTTTTTATTAAAATAATTAGTTTAACGTGTTAGGTATTTTATACAACTTATCAATTAAATTCAATAAAATATTTTTACATGAACTATCCAAAGATAACGTATAATACGAATTGTCATATCCGTTTGTAACAGTTGCAACTAACTTTCAAACTATATATATATATATATATATTGTGAGGACGTTTTCGTTCCTTTCCTAGGCTGGGGCAGCTCAACGGACCAGGGGACTCTTTATTCCAATAATTCTCTTTACACTTAACTTCAAATCTCTACCTCGGGGACAAAGCCGCGACCTTTCGTGTCGACGTCCCAAGCTCGACTCTCCAACTCAACTAAAACTAAAAACTAACTAACGTTACCTTATTCTATTCTTAATCTATTCTTAATCTATTACGATCCTATCTTAATCTATTCCTAATCTATATTAGTCTACTCTTATCCTATTCTTACCTATTCTTACCCTATAGCTATCCTATTCTTACGCTACCTTACTTCCTAGCACTCCTCTCTCCCCAACTAGAGACGGAGAACCCGTAAGGCCAAAACGGGGAACGACTTTGGATGCTTACACAATATATATATATTCATATATATGTATATATATATATGTGTGTGTGTTTACTTCTTATCAACGTAGTGTCTTTATTCGATCAGGTGCTAGAAAATCGAATAAATTTACATTGTTGAACCGAGCGCTTGCGGTATCTAGCGGACAGTTTTCTCACACAACCAAATTTTCGGTTAGAAGACGCATAGCACTTTTCTCAATGCCTACTTTATCTGGTAATTCATAGTCCAAGCGCTTTCATCGTCATTGAATATCGCGGTTTTTCTTAACAGAGTCTAATTAAAAGCTTTCTACCCAATATATGATTGGTGTAAAAAAAAGCGGTAAACTATCTCCGAACGAAATTTAGCTCGACTAGCATTCAATATTGATGGATTGATGGAAAGGACTATTTTAAATAACGTATCGGCCTCAAACGTTAATTTTATAATGCTTTCCGTTCCACTATGAGAATGCGCCTGCAATTTCAAACAAAATTGGTTGGAACTACGTTCGTAGCTTAACGTTTTTCGTAATCGCTTGACCAAATGTTGTATCCCGACAGTGAACTGTAACTACTTCGCGGCAATCATTGTCTGGGCACATGCGAAATTAACTCCTTCCGATCTGAACGCAAACGTAACGTAACGTTTCGATTGTATACAATTATCGTTGCGGCATGGTTTCTGCGGCCGGTCGATGTCGATAGCTAATTATGGATGGACTCGCTGTAACTCGTTGAATAGAGAGCTTGCAGCTATTGTTGTCGATCATAAAGTTACTGCCGAGTAATATATTCAAAATATCAGTTTCTGAATTATAGTGAAATTTCCGATCAACTTGCAACGCCTGCTCAGACGCTTTAAAATCTGGGTAAAATACATACACTTTTGATTAGAATAAAAATTTCAGATGGATTTGCCCGAAAAGTAGCGGAAACCGAAATCTTTGCTTATTTCATGAAAACTTCATGAAAATGTTTTATTTACCTTATTACGTGTTATTCAAATATGTTTTGTTTATGATAATAAGAAAAGTGCATTTTTTCGCTAATTCCCGCCAGAGCTCTGATAACTTTTTTAAAAACAATTTACAAAAAATTATTGCTTTTTTGAGGCAAACAAAACATCGAACCAATTTTGTTGATTCTCGTAGGAAGCTGCAACGCTGCTCAGCAAGTGCGTGAAGCAGACTTGAGTTTGATGAGTAAGTCCCATGACATAGCACTTACCAGTTGATTACTTCCAAGCGCGAAATACTTTTTCCTCTATGGTTGGATGGACGGATGCCGTTTAAAAAAAGGGACACTACGATGGCAATGCTGGTATCTTGAATAGCGAACGGTTGCAAATCAATGCTTTTCGTATTAATCGTTTCATCATTCAGACTTTATCCAATCGGCTATCGCAAGCTCTTTGGAAAATTAATTAATATTTCCATTGCTCCATGACGAGTATACTTTATTACCACACTAAGACCACACTTTTCTCTAGTCTGGTGCAAGCTGTCTTTCTCATCGTTCGAGCAAAGCGATGCATGCATTGCATGCACAAAACTTGCTATTGTTAGAAAAAACGACATGTGTTGCTTTCACGACTGCTTATAATGGACGCTTGATGGCCGACGTGTAAAAAAACACAACTACAAACATGTATGCCCTAAAAGAGTGCGCTTGGGGTTAGAGACACATCTATATTAAAATTCGGATTTCATACTTACATACCTAAAAACAAATTTTGTTCGGTCCGATCAGTCGAAATATATGAAAATATTATCTTGAAAGTAGGCATAGATGACCGACTAGATGATCGACTTGCGAACACATTCATCATAAATCCAAAATGCTCGCAACAATTATACTGATACTAATTTGATCTGGTCCTTTCCGCTACTCTAAATTCTAGATAATAATTCAAGCAAATCTCTTGAAAAGTTTTTCTTACCCTATCAGCAGTCGCCCTTCGTTTTATTATCCTCATATAATAACATAACCTACGTTGTCTTACAATGCATTTAAATAACTCTCAGTTCAATAATATATCACTAAAGCATCGATAAGCATCGATACAGTCGCTCTCTCTGGACGAGCGATAAACTTTTACTATCAATCCCTTCCTTCTCGAATAAAGGAACATCTTCGCTTTTAAAAGAATATTATATTTTATTATTTTATAGAGATCGTGCTACGTAGCTTGTAGAGACAGACTTTCGCCTAAAAAATGCCTAAATTCTGACATAGATTTCAATAGAGTTTTCATTATTATGACACATAAATTAATAAAAACTATTCTCTACGAAGTAATTTTATCGTCCATATAGCTGACGTAATAGTGCTATGTACGAATATGATTTACTTATTATACCAAGAAAACTGGGCAGCGACAAATTCATAAAACTTCCAGCTGTAAACACAAATGGTTGTTGTGCGTTTGTTAAAAACACTAAAAGCGATTTTCGATACCGGCCATCATAATCATACCAGGATGAATTGAAACTGCGTATAGGTAACGTTTTGCTCTTGAAATGAATAAGAAAAAAAGAAAATATGAAATATATATGTACATGTGCAAAGAAAAAGGGCATAAAGAGAAAATGAAAGAGAATACGTAGAAAGAGGGAATATGCATACAAGGTTAGAGTTAAAAAATTTTTAATCTCAAATCAATATAGACACGAGAGAGTGAAGACAAATTTTATCGTTAAATCTAAAAGAAGAGATAGTTATGAAGAAACCGAATAAATTCATATTTTATTTTTATTTATCAAATAAATCATTACTCATTGCCCCCATTCCTCAGAATGGTCTGCAATCTCGCTCTTTTGTAGAGATGCTTAGCTTACTCGTAAGGCTTGAACAGTTGCACAAATCGAGGCATTTTGTAAATCATTTTTGACAAATCAATCAGGTCCGCTAGACAGTGGACAGTAACTCTCTATTTTTTTTTTTTTTTTTTTTTTTTACTTTCTTTCTCTTTCTCGTTCTCTTTCCTTCATATCATTCTTTCCTTAACTTTAATAAATTCGAAAATAATATTTGAAGAAAGGTTTTGATTAATTACACATCTTAGGTAAATTTTTCAATTTTTCAAATTCAAATTAAATCACGCCCATTTTAATTTTTGAACGACACATTCCGGTTTTTGCAAGATTAGACGAGACTGTTGCCCACCTGCTCGGTTACCGCATTGCCGAAGCAGCAATAGAGAAATAGCTCGCAGGATATGCATCCACAATAGAAATAAATGAGAATGGCTTCGTTACTGGCGTCTGATTGGACTGTAGCCTGAAATCCCGTCATGGCGAATATAATCAAAGATGTAAAGAATTGCAAGAGAATCGATACACTAAATATGCTCTCAATATCTTGACAAACCCTGCAATCGCGAAATTGGATGTAGAAAATTTTCAAAATTATTATATATAACTGATCTATAGTTTAGCTTACTCCTTTAATAGGCAATGGTGTTCTATAATGGTGTTTAAGCTTCTTAAATGCTTTCCAAATATCGGCGAGTCATTGGCGCGGCATTTCTCTTGTTCTTTCTCGGAGCTAAGCTTATCAAAAGCTAAACTCAAAATATTCAATTGATAGCGCAATTGATTTAATAAATTAATATTTAAATAATCAATCGCTACGATTTGCATGGCGAATATCAAAACGCTAAGACTCATGTAAAGCAATTGCAATGGAAATGGCACCCACGCAGGCACGACAGCACGATAAGGAAACGTTTTCCCAGCCATCTTTACAGGATCTTTTAAAAAAAAAAACAAAAAAAAAAATTAACAAAATTTTTTAATTCCCCAATAGGTAACAAAATTTGTATACTTAAGAATAATACAAACATGCCCAGCAAACCGGTCGTAGCCACAATGGCCACATAAATGGTTAACAATAATTTATTCTCCAATTCTCCGTCAAGAAATGTTTGCCGCTAAAATTGATTGATTGATTGATTGATTCAAATCGATTTTCTTTTAAATCATTCTCAAGTACCTGCTCCTTGGATGTCGTATAAGTTTTAAGTCCGTATTTCAATTTATCCAATACTTTTTGTATATCCTTCAGTTTATACAAAGCATTAATTATCTGTAATTATGATTTTTTTTTTTAAATTATTCTTACATCTATTAAATTGTGTTTTTTTTTTCTTTTTCTTCTTCTTCTTCTTCTTCTTCATTTTCTTCTTACTTTAGCTAATCCGGCCAAATGCGTTAACGATATGCAACTATTTTGCGTTAAAATATTTAAATCATACCAATTTAAAGCCAAATCGTAAATTTCGCAAGCGGTATAAACGAAGGTTACCAAAATTGTGATGATTACCGTGTAAATGAAAATAAAAATATTTATATCACTTGAGTTTTGCCTTAGACGCATCACCGACACCCCAGCTATTTGTGCTAACCATAAATTCAATTCTATAGAACCGATTTGCCCTTTCCGTGGGTCCGAAGGAAAATAATTCATTAATGATTGCTTAATTTTCAACATGGCTACGATTTTATAATAATTATAACTAAAATAATTTTGAAATACTTGTCCTATTTTATATAAAAAATGAACCAAAATATTCAAAAGGCTGTGAAGCGAATTTTGGGCACCCATCACTTAAACGAATTTAATAAAAATAGCAAAGATTTTCTTATTTCTTGATTGTCTTAATAGTTAATTGTATATATATATATATATATATATATATATATATGTATATTTACATTTAAGAAGGCTGACATGCCCACAATGAACAATTAGGAAAAGCTTTACATAAATATTTATATAAATAAATAAATATTAATATATATATATATATAAATAAGACGACTGACATGCCCACAATGAACCATTAAGGAAAGCTTTGCTATATATATATATAAATAATATTATTATATATTTATATTATATTATTATACAATATTTACATAAATAAATAAGTACATATATGTCGAATAGAACGACTGACAAGCCCACAATGAACAATTAAGGAAAACTTTGCTATTTTTATATATTCCGTTTAAGTGGTGGGTAAATATATATCATATAGAAAGCAACGTTTTAGAAATTTCGTTATATAAAGCATTTTTCAATTTTCCAATTTAGCTATTGGAAGCAGATTTTCCTGAAAGAATTGCGGAAAAACAAAAGTGTTAAGATATCTGTTAAATTTTATTGTCAGAATACTAATTTTATATTACTTAGTATATAAATACATTTTATGGATGTTAAAAACGGTATTATAAACTTAATATGCATCCATCATTCGGTGGTTCTATATATAAGACGTACAAGAAATTTCTTCAAAGGTGTCACTGAATGCTTGCAAGCATGGCAATTAAGTAATTATTTTTAAATATTGCTTAATATTTCAGTTAATAATACCTTTAATTATTTATAAAATTTGTCTTCTTTTTTGCTTTAATCTAAAAGTCATAACAGAAAGGGTTCAATAAGTAATGCACATATTTTTCACACTCTTGGCAGCTGGCCCAAGCAGGTACGCGACACTAACTTTTATGCTGTGTTACGTTACATTTGTATTTTCAATGAATTAAATACAAACTTACATAATCACATTGCCATTAATGTTCTCATTTGCTTTATTATATGTAAAACAACTAAGTCCGGTAAATCTGTTGCTTTCAGTTTAAGCCCATTTCCAACAGAATTTAGAGTATCTTCAAAGCAAAAAGTATTTTCGTTAGTCATATCTATATATGTATATATATATATATCTGCATATATATATATATATATATATATATATATATATATCTGCATATGATCCTTAACAATATTTTTTACTTAACTTGCGTTAAAAAAAATGGATCATTTGCTAAGCTTAGCTTCTACAAACCGCTATTAACCACACTAGCATGAATTATGATCAAAATGCCATCTACAAATGACCACTAACCACACCAATATCTTCTACAAGTGACTACTAAGCACACTTGCATGAATTATTATCAAAATACCATCTACTCAAGCTCTGCCCTTTCAATGGAACTAAAAAGATAGCATACGTTTAGGAAAAAATATAAAATAATCACTTAAATAGAGCATGTTTTCACTAATCTGATCAAAAGAACTAACGAACGCTTCGTTAAATAAAACTAAACAAATCAATTACACAACAATGTAATATAGAGGGGGTGCGACTGATTTTTTCTATTTTCAAAATAAAAGTTTCTAGTAAAGAAAAATTTGTGAATTCAAACAAAGAAAAAATTATTGACGACTTTTGCTTGTACAATTTCACATGGCTGACACACGATACGATCCACTTGGTAAACGTACTTTGCACTTTACTTATGTCGAAAATACTGCATAAGAAGCGAAGCTACAAACGTTTTCTTCAGTAAATAAATAAAAAGAAAATTCTTAGCTTAGTCCGATATAGGCACCCCATTCAAGTGCCTTGCCACTTTACTGAGAGAGAGAGAGAGAGAGAGAGGGAGAGAGAGAGAGAGAGGCTATAACTTAGGCTATAACTTAAAATAATAATAATTCATCTCGTGGTGTCTTTCTAACATTTCTTCTTAACAATCTCTTCAACTCCTCTACCGCCTAAACATTATATTTATATATTTAAATAAATTTACGCAACATTTTCTGTTTGCAATATGCTTTTGTATCTCAATGCCAAAACCTTATTAAACATTATTAAGCATACTTCACAAACATTCTTAAACATGTCAAATATAAGCAGAGTTAAACATCGAAACCTTATTAAACATTATTATATTGACTGGACGATTTTTTCAATTCCCTGTCATATATAGTGTTATGGAGTTTTATGATGAAAATAGATCTAAGATAATGATTTTATATATAAACGCTCTTTTTATTTGAATATATTTTTAAATTTTCTTAATTTTTCACTCAATTAATATTTTTGAGTTTCTTTTCTTTCATTTTTTTTCGCAATTTTTCTATTCCTACAACTGCTTTGTGCATTAAATTAATTTTATAACGGAGAAAGATACATTAAGCATATAAAGCACGGTTTTCCACCCTTGATATCATGGTGGGCGCCATAAATAAATGGTTAAATACCCTGTTAAGAGCACAGAGTCGCTTTTAATAAATAAATGGTTAAATGCCCAACTTAACAAAAATGTTAACGCCAATCAGGTAATGTTAAAGGCCCAACTTAATCGACAAAAGGGATTCGATTCTGTTAAATAACGGACCAAATTAACAAAAGCCGTCGGCAAAACAAAAACTTAACATTAGCTAACGGACCAAATTAGTTGAAAGAAACGTTGCGCAAACGAAACGATATTTTCGGATGTTCC